CAGATCATCCATGTAAAGGAGATGGGATAGTCTAGCAGATGTTTTTGATGTTTGATAACCATGTCCTGAGTTATTCAGTATTGTTGACAGAGGAAACAGTGCAATAACAAATAGTAATGGTGATAATGAATCTCCTTGAAATATTCCTCTCTTGATATTAACCTCTCCCAGCTTCTCACCATTGATCTGCAACTGTGTCTTCCATTGTGCCATCGATTTTGCACAAATTTTCTGATGTTTCTACTTACTCCTGTTATTTCTAGGCACTTGATTATCCAATCATGTGGCAGAGAGTCAAATGCCTTTTTGTAGTCAATCCATGCCACATTCAGGTTGGTCTTCCTTCTCTTGCAGTTTTCCAAGATCATTTTGTCTATTAGGAGTTGATCTTTTGTTCCTCTGCTATTGGGGCGGTTTCCTTTCTGCTCAGGTGGAAAGAGATTGTTTTCAACTAGATGCTGTTGTACTGCATCAGCTACCACACCAGTTAGTAATTTGAAAGTTGTTGGTAAGCAGGTAATTGGCCTGTAGTTACCTGGTGTTGCCCCTTTTGCTGGATTTTTCATTATTAGGTAGGTTTTCCCAGTTGTTAGCCACTTTTCAATTTCTCCTCCTTGTAGTATATTGTTGAACTGCTTGGCAATGAGTGGGTGTATAACAGTTAGATGTTTCAACCAAAACCCATGCAGTTCATCTTCACCTGGTGCTGACCAATTTTTGATTTTCTTTGCTCTTTTTTCTACCATTTTTGTTGTTATTACTAGTTCTTTCATTTCAACTTCTGTTTTATTTGCATCCACCTCTTTTAACCAAGCTGCATCCTTGTTGTATTTCTTTGGGTTATCCCATATCTGCTTCCAGAACTGCACTGTTTCTTCCTTGTCAGGTACTGACTGATTCCTTGCAGTTTCTCCATTGATGGATTGGTAGAAACGTTTCTGATTGGATTGAAATTGGAGGTTCTGCCTATAGTTTGCAATTCGAGCTTCATATCTACTGATTTTCCTGGCTATAGCTGTTATTTGTTGCTTTATTATTTCCAGTGCTTCCTTGATCTTCCTTGTTTCTAAGTGGTATTTCTTGATTAGGTATTCTTTGGTCTTCTTGTTCTTCAGCTTCTTTTCTTTCATCTGTTCTAGCTTGCTTGCATGTGATCTTAACTTGCTGATCTTATTTTCTAGTCTAACCTTCCATTTTTGTGGTGCACTGTTTGTTTGTTTTTCTTTTTTGTTGATTTTACATCCCAGGTATTCTGTTATAACTGCAGCTGTGCTGTACATTAATTGGTTTGTTTCTTGCAGTGAATTGGTGCTTATACTTGCTATTGCAGTATTTGCATCTTTTAATGCTTGTGCTAGCTGTTTCTTTGGAACAAGCTTCAATGCAGGTAGCCTTATTCTGTTGTTTTTGTGCTGTTCTAGATGCTCAGTTATTCTTTGTTTCAATTCTTTTATTTCTTTAGTTAGAGGGTTTTGTTCTTCCTGAGGAAGAGGTGCCTGGTTTCCAAATGAGAACAGTTGTATATCTCTGCTGGATTCTTTCACTGCCAACTCCCCCTGGTTTGCCTCTACATTCTGAATTACTTCTGGTAAGGCTTTGATTTCTTTGCCCTGGGTAAACCTTTGCAGTTCGTCCAATTCTGTTTCTGTAAATACTTTATTTCGTGTTATAAATCGGCGTTGATCTGCTAGTCTCTGTTCTGTTATTTCTGATTCTGGATGTTGTTCTTTCCAGAATTGGTGCATTCGTTTTAGATATCCTCGCCTTGTTGGACTTGATCTGTAGTAACAGATCATTATTTCTTTGTTTTCCATCACTGTGTATCTGCGACGGGTAAACACCTTTTCTTCCAGTAGTTCTGCAGCTGCTAGCCCTGGTTGCTCAGCCAACAGTCCTGAGTCCTGTAACCCATTTTTCACCAGATATCCAGGAACTCCAATATCTAGTGCGGACCTTGTTAACCCGGGCGACGTCCGAGCCGGTATGGCATTCTGAAATTTGCGTCTCACCATATTTTTTATGGGAGAGACACTCTTTGTCTGACTCCTCTGATGAGACCTGTCCAGTATGGTTGAACCTCTGGCATAGCTCTCATCTTCCTCAGAGTACACAAGCCCCTATTATTATTATTATTATTATTATTATTATTATTATTATGGATCATCGCGCAGTCAGCCAGATGTTCAGACTGGATTTGACATTTTGTCTACCTATCGAGTCCTTACCCAGGACCTGGGATAGGCAGATGTGGATGTTTGATGGTATTACAGGTATCGTCGCAGGATGGAAGCAGTTCCTAATAAGGCCGCCTTTTGCAATTGACTAATAGCGAAGTTGTCAATGCCAATGGTGTCCAAGTGGTGCTCCAGTGGTTGTTGTTGTTGTTGTTGTTGTTATTATTATTATATAAAAATAAAAAACTCTGCTACTCGGAACATCTTACATTTTAAGGAGGTACCTGGTTGACCCTTAGGATGCTGGCAGCAACCCATGTCAACCATCAGCGCCAGTCAATTTGAATGTTCAGCTGACTGAGGTTCACGTCTAATGAATAAAAGATAATAATAATAGTAGTAGTAGTAGTAGTAATAGAGTTGGAAGGGACTTTGGAGATCTTCTAGTCCAGCCCCCTACTCAGGTAGGAAACTTTGAACACCGAGATGGGTGGCATAGAGAGGGAGGGAGAGAAGAAAGGGAAGGAAAGGAAGGAAGGAAAGAACGATGAGAAAAAGGAAGGAAGGTTATAATGTAGAAAGAAGGATGATTGATTTTTAGGAAGGAGGGAAGGAAGGAAGGAAGGAAGGAAGGAAGGAAGGAAGGAAGGAAGGAAGGAAGGAAAATATACTGATTTTGAGGAAGGAAGGAAGGAAGGAAGGAAGGAAGGAAGGAAGGAAGGAAGGAAGGAAAATATACTGATTTTGAGGAAGGAAGGAAAAGAAAGAAAGAAAGAAAGAAAGAAAGAAAGAAAGAAAGAAAGAAAGAAAGAAAGAAAGAAAGAAAGAAAGAAAGAAAGAAAGAAAGAGAAGGAAGGAAGCAAGCCTGGCTGAGGGGGACTCTCCCTTCCTAAGAGGGAAGCTCAGAAGGGCAAAAGGGGGCACCTTGAACTCAAGCTGAAAGAAGTCCCACCTTCCCATTTTTAAGATGGTAACTTGGACAGGTATTTCCGCAAAATCCGAGCGGAAGGAGTGGGAAAAGAAGCCAAAACTTTGGCAGGAGGTTTGCTGTTTAGGTGCAACCATTTATTTTTATACTTTTCCGGCTGCCTCAACACTTCAGCCCAATGGCCGTCCACCCCCCCCCCCCAATGTCCAGCGTGATTTTGCTTTTTTTTAAAAAAAAAAATTGAAAGCCTTTTTCCAGTGCTGCCAAACAGTAAGCCCCTGCTCAACCAATCCCCGGAGCTGTCTGAGCAACCTTGAGATAAATTAAAAACATCAAATACAAGCCCCAAACGATAGGAGCCGTGAAAGCGAGTGAAATCCCCAAGAAAATCAAGCTTTTGGGGAAAGCACAGCCGGATTCTCGGGCTGCCTTGAACCGGCTGTCGGGAGGTCGCCAGGCGAAACTCTTGGGGAGGCCCTGTCAGGATGCAACCTTGCTCCAAAATGGCCTCCTTCAGCTCCCACTAAGCCAGGGGTAGGCCACCTCGGCTCTTGTATGACTGGTGGACTTCAACTCCCAGAATTCCTGAGCCAGCCATGCTGAGGGGGAAAGGGAGAGGTTTCCAAGCTGAGCCATGCTGGCTCAGGAATTCTGGGAGTTGAAGTCCACGAATCATGAGGGGGCCATAGTTCCCCCATGGTGGCTCAGGAATTCTGGGAGATGAAGTCCACCAGGCATGAGGGGGCCGTAGTTCCCCCATGCTGGCTCAGGAATTCTGGGAGTTGGTCCACGAGTCATGAGGGGGCCATAGTTCCCCCATGCTGGCTCAGGAATTCTGGGAGTTAAAGTCCACGAGTCATAAAGCGGCCTAGGCCTAGGCCAGTGGTAGGCAACCTTGGCTCTTTTATGACTCGTGGACTTTAACTCCCAGAATTCCTGAGCCAGCATGGGGGAATTACGGCCCCTTCATGACTGGTGGACTTCAACTCCCAGAATTCCTGAGCCAGCCATGCTGAGGGGAAAGAGAGAGGTTTCCAAGCTGAGCCATGCTGGCTCAGGAAGTCTGGGAGTTAAAGTCCACGAGTCATGAGGGGGCCATAGTTCCCCCATACTGGCTCAGGAATTCTGGGAGTTGAAGTCCATGAGTCATGAGGGGGCCATAGTTCCCCCCATGCTGGCTCAGGAATTCTGGGAGTTGAAGTCCACCAGTCATGAGGGGGCCATAGTTCCCCCATGCTGGCTCAGGAATTCTGGGAGTTGAAGTCCACGAGTCATGAAGGGGCCATAGTTCCCCCATGCTGGCTCAGCAATTCTGGGAGTTGAAGTCCACGAGTCATAAAGGGGCCATAGTTCCCCCCTGCTGGCTCAGGAATTCTGGGAGTTGAAGTCCAATAGTCATAAAAGAGCCAAGGTTGCCTACCCCTGGCCTAGATGCAAAACTATGATAAAAGGACTTGACAGCCACTTTGGCCTAGTGGTTAAGGCACAAGGCTAGAAACCAGGAGATGGTGAGTTCTAGTCCCGCCTTAAGCATGAAGGCCGGCTGAGTGACTTTGGGCCAATCACCAGGAGACAGTGAGTTCTAGTTCCACCTTAGGCATGAAAGCTGCTTGGGTGATTTTAGGCCAATCACCAGGAGACGGTGAGTTCTAGTTCTCCCTTAGGCAGGAGAACCAGCTGGGTGACTCTGGCCAATCACCAGGAGACGGTAAGTTCTAGTCCTGCCTTAAGCGTAAAACCCTAACCCTACACCATGAGCTCATGGATGTGTTTGTCTTTGTGCGCGCGCGCACACTTGGGGTTGGACTAAAAGACCTCCAAGGTCCCTGTGCATTCTCTGGGTTTAGCCTCCGGCCTCACCCTCCTTTCTCTTTCTTCCTCTTCTTTCCCCCTCGCAGGAGCGGTTTGTGGACCTGTACGGGAACGACGCGGCCGCCAAGAGCCGGAAGGGCCAGGAGCGCTTCAACAAGTGGCTGTGGACGGGGGCCACCGTGGCCGGCGTGGTCCTGCTGGGCTCCCTGCTCAGCCGCAAATAGCCAGAGACTGACCAACTGACCATCTGGGCCCTGCTCCAGCCCTCCGTCCTCGTAATCATTCCAGGGGGGTGGGGAGGAGGGGGCTCCGCTCCCCCACCCCAGGCTCACCCCCCTTCCTCCTCCAAGCAACTCACAGACCTCTTTCTGGTGCCTCCTGCCCCCTCCTCTCCACCCCCCCCCAAGACCCAGAGACTCTGGCTGTCCTATGTGCAGATCTCGGCTGGGGGGGGCTCCTCCGATCCTCAGAGCCCCCCCCTTCCGTTCCCCCACCTGCTGCTTTCCATCCGCAAAACAGTCATTTCTGGAAATTGCAAATTAACCTCGTTCAAGCCGTTCCGGCCCTGTTCCCCAGCAGACCCAGCCCCTGGGGAGGTGGGGGGGGGGCTTCAGGGAGGGGATGGGGAGGGCCCCCCCTCCTCCCCAGGCTCTGGCAAGTGACAAAGCGTGTGGCTTCTCCCCCACCCACCCACCATTAAGGGATACTCGGACTTGCCCGAAACCTCCCTCCACAGGCAAGTCACCTAGATCCGGAACCTTCTGCCCACTACACAGCCCATGCTCCTGGGACTGCATGGGAGAGGGACTCCTTCCTGGGCGAGGCGGGGTGTGTTTGAGTGTGTGTGGGGGGGGGGGGCGGTAGAGCTTCATCAGGGTGAGAGGAAGGGGTACAAGGCACCCCGTGCCTTACGAAGCGCAGGCCCCTCACTTTCTCCGGCCTGGGGACCACCCCACCTGTGCGTCGCCCTGCCGGAGGGCTTTGGGGGGGGCGTCAAAAGGGGGGGGCAAGGCTGCCCCTCTCAGCTCTGCGTGGCTTGGGGGGGTACCCAGTGTGCTTGCTAAGGACTCCCTGTGCAAAGTTTGGGTGACTAGCGAGGAAAGGACGATGGCAGTCTCCTGGCTTTGCCCCCCACCCCGTTCAGTTGTGGGTCCTGCTGTGACAGGAACAGCAGCTGGGTGCACTATCGTGCATCAACACCCTGCCCCCCCCCCCCAAAAAAGAAACCCTCTGTGCCCTGGGAAAGAATCCTAGATTCTCCAGAGTTTGGGGGGGGTCTCGTAGGTCACCTTCCCCCTCCCCATCTGTCTGCGGAGGGAGGGTTAAGAGCTGGCACCGGGCATCGGAGGGGGGCGTGCTGCATTATCCGCAGGAGCTTTGGGAAGGTGTTTACCATCGGCTGCTAATTGCAAGCTTGCCCCTCCGGGGACCCTGCCTGGCGTTTGCCCAAGGAACTTCCAGGAAGCGCAGGCATCCATCCGCAGGGCCCTTTGAGGTGGGGGGGGCTGGGAGGAGAAGGGGAGGAATACCCCATGCCGGAGGGGAAGGAGAGGGGCAGGACCAGACGGGTGTTTGGTGGCGGCTTATGAGGCTCTGCAGAGTAAGTGGATGGAGGGATGTCAGGAACGTGGTGGTGGGTGGGGAAATGGGGGGGGGTTGCACTTCTTTTGAGATTTTTTTCTTTTCCTGCAAGTGTTAGGTCGGTGGTCAGAGATGTGGGGGGGGGTCTGAGGATTTGGGGAGGGGGGTAGCGTATCAGGTCTACGGGAGGGAAAGGAGAGCGGAGGAAAAGCGGGGTAGGGCAGGTGGAGCTGGGGGGGGCGAGAGAGAGAGAAAGGGAGGGAGGGGTCTGCATCTCCTTTGGGCTCTGCAGCAGCCTAGGACACACAAGGGGCATTTGGGGGGGGAGGGTCTTTTTCTGCCACAGCAGCATCATGGGTCCCCCCCCCCCAGATCTGGGTCTTTTCCTGCATGATGGAGCCCAGCAAGTGAGACTCCCATCCCACCCCCTGCAGACTCAAATGACACCACCACCACCACCACCCCTGTCCCTGGCCTAGCATCCCCCTCCCCACAAAAAAAAAGCCCAGGCCGCCCCGGCAGCTTGCCTGCCCCCTCCCCCGAAGAGATACAAGATTGGCTGTATATATTGAAGAGTAGTTTTTATTCCGTTGTGAATACAATAATAACTATTTTTGTTAACCGTATGTCTGTATTTATGTGTTTTGGCTGTGCTTGCCCTCCCTCTCCGCCCCCTCCCCCTGTGCCCCGTTTAACCCCCCCACCCCCCATCCCTCTACCCCTTTTGATTGCAAAGGCAGGCTGTCGGTTGAGGGGTGGAGCGTCCCAGCCCGGGAAGAGCCCAGCTCTTGCCTTCCCCCCCCCCACAGCCTGCCAGTCCTTGGGGTCCAAGCTTGGCACTTGCGCCTTGAGTTTGCTCCTCTCTCCCCCCCCCCTTCCTCCGTGTCCAGGCCTCAGACGAGCCCCCTTATTAGAGAAGAGGAAAAAAAAAGAAATAAAGACGAAGGTGGATTTGAAGATGGAAGTTGAAATCCTTCAATAAAACTGTGGTGTTTGAGCCGGGAGTCCAGTCTCGTTTTTGGGTCCTTTCCTTCCTTTCTCAAGATGGCGGGTGGGGGTGGGTGGGCTCTCCAGGGCTCCCCTTAGCAAACCGGTTTCACAGCCGATGGGCAAAGTCAGAATGAGAGCGTTGGAAGGGACCTCGGAGGTGGTCTAGTCCAGCCCCCTGCTCAAAAGAGAAGACCCTATCTATACCATTTCCACCAGATCCAGCAGGATGGACCGAGGCAGATCAGCCCTCCCCCCCCCATCCAGGGCTCCCCAGATGTGTTTAACTACAGTAGCCGGAGAGAGGGGATATGGTAGTCTGCCTTTTCCTGGTGACATTCACACCAGCAGAGGGAAGAAGACAGGGGGGATGTTACGGGTGCCCCCTCTTAAGGAGGTCCATCTGCAGGGCCTTCTCCGTGGAGGCTCCCTTCTCGTGGAACAGGAAGTTCCTCTGTGAGAGAGATGGGCGGAGATTAGATTAGATTTAGATGGATGGATGGATGGATGATAGGAATTGAGTGATGGCAGAGGGACAGACAGACATAGATGATACAAAATGCTTGAATGATTGATGGTAGGCGGATGGATACATAGATGATAGGAACTGCTCGAGTGATTGATGGTAGATGAGAGACAGACAGGCTAGGGCTAGGCTGTTGGTTTGATCTCTGAGCTTGGAGATTTGGCTGCAGACATTTTTGTCTCCATTCCTCAGTGCTCAGAGCACTGGCCTTTAAATACCTTTGAAAATTGGTGTGGGTGTTATTTGTCCAGATGTTGCTGAGTCATGATCTGGTTTGGGGCTGGTTGATTTGACTGTTGTTGTGGATGGATAGATAGATAGATAGATAGATAGATAGATAGATAGATAGATAGATAGATAGATAGATAGATAGATAGATAGATAGATATAGGATATAGAATAATAGAATACATGCGTGCATACACATACATACATACATACATACACACAACAGCATCTCTGCAGAGAGGAGCCCTACCTCAACAATCTTCCGAAAGGCCCCAAAGTCATGGTTTGGCTAATGGGCCTGAGGACTTCAAAAGTATACAGAGCCCAACAAGTTGTTGATTTTAATTGATGTCACTGGGGTCCCAGAAGGGTGGGGAACAAAGTCTCAGAAGGGTGGGAAGAAGGTCCCAGAAGGGTGAGGGGAGAAGGTCCCAGAAGGGTGGGGAAGAAGATCCTACAAGGGTGGGGAAGAAGGTTCTAGAAGGGTGAGGGAAGAAGGTCCCAGAAGGGTGTGGGGAGAAGGTCCCAGAAGGGTGGGGAAGAAGATCCTAGAAGGGTGAGGGAAGAAGATCCTACAAGGGTGAGGGAAGAAGGTCCCAGAAGGGTGGGGAAGAAGGTTCTAGAAGGGTGAGGGAAGAAGGTCCCAGAAGGATGGGGAAGAAGATTCTAGAAGGGTGAGGGAAGAAGATCCTAGAAGGATGAGGGAAGAAGGTCCTAGAAGGGTTGTTTTTTTTTTAAGAGTTAACGACCGTTGAAGCATCCCCATGATCAGCGGATCAAAATTCAGAAACTTGGCGATTGACTCGTATTTATGACGATCGCAGCTTCCCCGGGAGTCATGTGATCTCCCTTTTGCGACCTTCTGACCAGCGAAGTCCATGGGGAAAGCCAGATTCGCTTAGCGACCGGACGACTGACTTAACCACTGCCACGATTCGCTGAACCATTGTGGCAAGCAAAGTCGTCAAGTGGGACAAAACACGCTTGACAAATGTCTCATTTAACAGAAATTTTGGTCTCAATTGTGGTCGTAAGTCGAGGACTATCTGTACTCTAGAGCAGTGGTTCTTAACCTTTTTGAACGAATCGCCCCCTTGAGCCAATGAGGAAGTTGTCATCGCCCCCCTCCCCCAACATCACCTGTCAATCACAACATAGGAAATAATTCTTCAATTTATGCAAATGCTTTTTTTGTTTTCTTTCAAATTGTCATCAGGACATATCGATGCAAATAATTTATTTCCAGTCTTTTTCCCATATCTCCCATATTCTGGCCAATGGCGCGCCACTGTATGGGTAGAGGCTGCTGCGCAATGCGCATGAAGATGCGCATTTACATATGTACGGCATTCTGTACTGAAGCTAGCGGGAGGAACATTTGAAAACACAATTCAATCCACTAATAGCGAGCGATCTGATGTTTTTGTACGACAGATATGCAGCAATTCACTGTATGAAAAAGTCTCAAAAGTGTCCCCCAAACTTCTCGCTCCATCGCCCCCATATCGCCCCCTTTTCATTCCATCGCCCCCCTGAAAAATGAAATTGCCCCCTGGGGGGCAATGTCGCCCAGGTTAAGAATCACTGCTCTAGAGCAGGGAAGGGTCTCCAAATTTGTCCACTGGAAGACCGGTGGACTTCAACTCCCAGAATTCCCCAACCGGAAGACCGGTGGACTTCAACTCCCAGAATTCCCCAACCGGAAGACCGGTGGACTTCAACTCCCAGAAGTCCCCAACCGGAAGACCGGTGGACTTCAACTCCCAGAATTCCCCAACCGGAAGACCGGTGGACTTCAACTCCCAGAATTCCCCAACCGGAAGACCGGTGGACTTCAACTCCCAGAATTCCCCAACCGGAAGACCGGTGGACTTCAACTCCCAGAATTCCCCAACCGGAAGACCGGTGGACTTCAACTCCCAGAATTCCCCAACCGGAAGACCGGTGGACTTCAACTCCCAGAATTCCCCAACCGGAAGACCGGTGGACTTCAACTCCCAGAATTCCCCAACTGGAAGACTGGTGGACTTCAACTCCCAGAATTCCCCAGCCAGCGCATGCTGGCTGGGGAATTCTGGGAATTGAAGTCCCCCAGTCTTCCAGTAGCCAAATTTGGAGACTCCTTGCTCTCAAATTTACATACTTTAGGAGCTCCATCTATGAAATTACATGTCTTTAACTCTCCATCGGTCACTTGGGGGGGGGGGAAGCAAGGACAGGGTCCTAATGAGGAGGGGGGGGCGAACACCCCAACACGGGTCAGCCTTGCAAGCTGCTTCATCAGAGAAGCCTGGATTTGCCACCCAGAAGTCCACATTCCCTCTCGACCTTGGACACCGGGACACATCCCCGGCCTCGAAAAATTCCTGATAACAGATTTCAAAAGATGAATGTAAAAGCTGCAGCCTTGATTGGAGATCCTTGACTGGGGGGGAGTAAGGGGGGGCCTATTTGCATTAACAAATTATAAACTAGGACCCAAGCAGATTTTTTCAATGCTGTTGTAACTTTGAATGGTCACTAAATCAACTGTTGTAAGTTGAGGACGACCTGTATAACAGAATAACAAGAGTTGGAAGGTACCTTGGAGGGCATCTAGTCCAACCCCCTGCTCAGGCAGGAAAACCTAGACCAGTGTTTCTCAACCTTGACAATTTTAAGGCATGTGGACTTCAACTCCCAGAATTCCATTGCTGGCTGTGGAATTCTGGGAGTTGAAGTCCACATGCCTTAAAATTGTCAAGGTTGAGAAACACTGACCTAGACCATTTCAGACAAATGGCTGTCCGGTCTCTTCTTAAAGACTTCCAGTGGTGGAGCATTCACTGCTTCTGGAGGCAGGTAGTTCCACTGGTTAATTGTTCTGACTGTGAGGAAGTTTCTCCTTAGTTCCAGGTTGCTTCTCTCCTTGATGAGTTTTCATCCATTGTTTCTTGTCCTGCCTTCAGGCGCTTTGGAGAACAGCTTGACTCCCTCTTCTTTGGGGCAGCCCCTGAGATACTGGAACACTGCTATCCTGCCCCCCCTCGTCCTTCTCTTCATTAAACTAGACATACCCAATTCCTGCACCCACAACTTTTGGTGGCAAGTTGTTCCACTGGTTAATTGTCCTCACTTTCAGGAAATTTTTCCTTAGTTCCAGGTTGCT